AACATCATTATCCACGGGGCCACCTGTCCTTCAGGACACACGGCACCTGAAGAAGGTCGGAGCGTACAACGGCCGAAATTTTGTGAATATGGCAATAAGGATGAGGATAACAATCCGAATAATGCAAGAAGATTGAAGTTAAGAGAAATTGTGAGTATCCAAAGAATTATTAGCAATATACCTGGTCCTGATCTGGCAGTTCGGCCTCAATAACTAGTCCACCACCGTAACTACGGAAGAATAAATTGAATTTTTTTACTTTGTGCTAGACAACGCAAAGGTGCCATTCAAATCGCAAGAATTTACAATCGAAATAAGAGATCTGAATGCCAAAATGATGAAATTGTTGGCAAATTCGGACAATTTAAACACGAAATGAAGTTAATTCTTAAAACATATTAAGTTCAATCGTGTATATATATATATATATATATATATATATATATATATATATATATATATATATATCATCTGAAGCACCACTCATTTGTGTTTAACTGGTTGTTCTTGGTAACTGTGAAGATCTCGAATTCCTTCAATAGAAACCGAAATAAAGGTAGGTTGATTAAGAAAAGTGCTCTTTCTCGCCCTACCCCCGTTCATCACCTCCCGTCCCAGGTGAAAGATAGTCGTATATTTTCGCCCATGGACATCAGAAACAATATTCACTTCAAATTCGCCGTAATTTTACCAAAGTACCATTGAAATGGTGTCAGTCTTCTCTGCTCATTGTCAAATCACAATGTTGGAAAGAAGCAACTGATGCATCTACTGTGATATTCTATAGGCAGACGCCCCACCTACTTCTTTTTACCTCCTCTCTCTTCTAATATAGCAGAATGTCCCCTAACCATCTGATGGTCAAAAGTTCTTTCGCCACTGATATGATTCCGTTTTTTTGTTTTTTGTTGTTTTGTTTTTATTTTAGTACATGTTTGATTTTTGTTTCTTTATGTATTTTTGGTTCGTTTCTTTTTTTTTTTTTTTTTTTTTTTTTAATAGGAATAGTTAAGTTTTCATAACGCCCGGTTCATTTTCCTCCCCGTTTTCTTGAACAAGAGTAGAGGCTCATACCTTGTTTCCTATTTAGGAAGTGATTTCTCATGCCTTAATAATGGTGCTGTCATGAATTTTGTTGTAATGTGGGTGGAGTGTAACAACGTCTCTTCATACTGAGGGTACTGGATTAGTAGTTTTCCATTTGTTGTTAACGACTGGTAGTTAGGAGCTGACCTCTTACATAGCGAGTTGAGAATATGCCCTGATCAACAGTCACAAAATATCGGGTTTACTGTAGTGCCATGTCGCGCAAGGTAGGGTGTCCATGCCAAATCCTCCGATGGGCAAACTCGAGGTCGCACTCTGTCGTAGTCTACGCCAGTTCCCTTCCTGCACAAGTTACATTAGACGACCGACTGCTACTACTCTTCTCGGTCTTTCTTTACCAAAACACCATGACTATAAGACACCAAATATATATAACTAAACAAGTTAAAAAAAATCATGGAAACCCATTAACGTCTGCAGTGTGGAATTGTCCCTCTTCGAAAAGTCTCCGGACATCCAAGTACTCTGTAAAACTAAACATATTTCTTCAATCTCCTCTTCTGATGTCTCGATTCCTGGCTATCTTCCTCTCCTTAGGAAGGTCTCTAATGTCCACATGCTTGGTCTGGGGGTTTATGTCCGTGGACATCTCCAACTGACTAGAGAACTCTCTTTGAATCTCCACACCACTCTTACATGTGTCTCCGTCTCTCTCTGCTAAACTCAGTCTTCTATCTCATCTTTCTCGACCGTTCTTCATCCTCTCGTGGGTGTTGCGTGATAGATAGTATTTTTGATAATATAAACAAGGCTATCTCCTTATGTTTTCAAATATATTTGCGTTTGGTGATGTTAATGCCCAGCATGCCAGATGGCTAAAACATTGTCCCTGAGCCTGCTTGCATCCAAACACTTAAATCACCATCACTCAATCTCTCACGTAAGTGGTGAAATTCCACACGCATTTCCCTAGTAACTCTGATGGACACACTTATCTTGAAGATCTCTTATTTTTACCTCTATCCAGGACTATGTCTTACTATGCAGCTCTGCCTTCTTGGTAGCTCTGATCATGCGGTTGTGTGTGTAAACTTCTCTTTCTGCTCTCCTATCACCCAAGAAACTTCTACCAACAGAATATCTTTCTTTTATCAACAAGTTGATTGGAACTCGTTCTGCGACTTCCTTTGGGACGTCTCTTGGAATGCAGTTTTTAGTTTTGTTCATAAATACGAGTTTGAGGTCCCCTCCTGCGTGAAAGCCGGCATCGATGCTTTTATTCCAGCAAGGATATACCAAGTCAAACCGCATTCATTCTTACCTGCATGCTCGACACGTATAGCCCACAGGAAACACTTCTTCAGGATGTCCCAGAGCGACACGTCTGATTGCTACAGACGTCTGTTTGTCTCTGCTCGTAAGGTGTGCAATGATGTCCTAAAAGTAGCGAAGTTACAGTTTACTGATTAAATGAAACAACGTATAGCAATTACGGTTCTAGAGATTATTGTCGGCTCTGCAAAAGTGTGTTGAACAACATCAAATTCTTATCCTCTATTCAATCAATTCTAAGTCCTGACATCTGCAGCAGATAAGGTTTAAATGCTTTGCTCGGAAATTCTCTTTAAACTCAATACTGGACTCATTTTGAGTACCCACACTTGATTCCACCCTCCTAGAACAGAGGCTCTACTAAGTGATATGCGCATAACCCAGTCATTGGTCTCGGACATTATTTCTAAATTAGTCTCCAGTAAGGTAAGCGGAGGTGATGGAATCCAAGCCGTCGTCTTAAAGAAAAGTTCCCCCGAGTTGCCCCAATGTTCCCTCCAAATATTACAACTACTGACTCGCTGGCTTCCTGGTTTCGAGATTTTTGGAAAATCCTCCTCTGTAGTTCCTGTTTTTAAGAACACTGCAGAACCTTCTCACCCCTCTAATTAACACCCATTTGTTTCTTGCCGCTTTTGGCAAAATCTCCGAGTCTTTAATCAATGCTGTATTGGTTAAGCCTCTTATATCCCAGGATCTACTCACTGACAAACAATATGGTTTCCGTTTTTCCATATCTACCGCTGATGTTCTAACGGCCATCACTAAATATGTATATTAATCTCTTGATAAAACACCGAAAGTCGAGCTGTTGCTCTTGAAATCTCGAAAGCGTTAGATAGGGTTTGCCACGCTGGTCTTCTACGTAGGTTCAAAGGCTACCGTATTACTGAACGATTGTTAGATTTAATCCAATCGTTCCTATCAATTCGTTAAATTAAAAGCGTTTTGAATGGAACCCCTTCTAAATCCTTTCACACGAACGCTGGTGGCACCCAAGGCTCTATCCTTGGTCCTACGCTGTTTATGATCTTCATCAATGACGTTCTTGATGTAAGCAGTTTCCAAGTAGGCATTTATGCTGGTGACACTACGATTTTCACTTGCCTCAATAGCACATCTGCCAACCTAACAAAGTTAATCTGGCCACTACTCTTGAAAAGGTCAGCCAATGTGTGGTTATCTGTGGTAGGAAATGACTCATTTAACCAGCATAGATACATTTTCCTATTATCCATCAGCATAGAAGATGCTCGACTCCTGGAGAACAACACATTGCGCCATCTTGCCCTCACTTTTTCAAGTGACTTAAAGTGGAACGACTACATCAAATCATTAGCTGAATATACTGCAAGGAAAGTTTTGGTCACTGTGTTGTGCTAGAATGTTATTTTTTCTCGTCAGAGTCCATCTAGACATTTATAGTCTACCTTTCATCTGTGTATTGAATACTGTTACCCTATCTCCTGAGGTACTTCTGCTACTCATCTTGAGATTCTTGGCAAAATTCAAAGAAGGATCTTCAATGCAATCGATCCTGACATGGTATCTCGACATTGTCACTGACGTAACGTGGCTTCCTTCTGCATTTTATACAAATATTTTCATGTCTACTGCAATGACGAGCTTTTTTGCCCTGGTCCATGGACTACGTGAGCTAAAGTTGATACTAGATTGCTGTCTAAGTCCCACCTTTCTACTGTTGAATTAGTTAAATATAAGCGCCACATCTGTTCAAAGAGTATCTTTTCTCGAACTTTCTGCCTGTGGAACTCACTTCTATTTATTTGCTTCCCTGATAATTAGAATCTTCAAAAATTTTGCTGCAACGTCAATCACCTTCTTCTATCTTCTTGAACCCTTTCCAGCTTTTATCCTTTGCTCGGCCTCCTCTGTACCTAGTCTTTTTAGTCACCTTAGTTCTCTGTAGCAAGCTACGTACTAGTATCATAACCCGCCTTATTTGGGCGGAAATGATTAAAAAAATCTAAAGCAAATAAGAAAAGACTCAGAGAACAAAATCGAAACGAAAGGAAACAATTATTAAATAAAGGCTTTAATGAATGAATGAAATGATGAACTAATGTGAAAACAGCATAAGATAAGCACAAGGTGAAGAAAAAACACGAAAGATAAAACGAAACGAAATAATGAACTATAATAACGAAAAACAGAAAGAAATAAATGAAGAGACAGCAAAGAAAAAAAATGGAAATGAAAACTAAAGGAGAGAAAAACATAAAACAAAGAATGAATTTGAAACAAAAAAAGATCTTAGTAGAAGAAATAAATAAAGAAAAATAAATTAATAAATTACAACCATGAAATGACGCAAAATAAAGAGCCGAAAACGAAGCCTAAACACTGGGAAAAAAAACGAAAGAAAAAAGAAAGTAAATAAGTGATGAATGCGAAAGAAATTGTGGAAGAGAAGAAAAAAGAAGCAATGAGAATGACGAAAGATGAAAAGAAAGAAAGAAACAAACAAACAAACGAAAGAAAGAAAGAAAGAAAGAAAGAAAGAAAGAAAGAAAGAAAGAAAGAAAGAAGTAATGAAGGAAAGAAAATAGTGGACGGATGCGAATGAAATTAAAACAGAAGAGAGAAAAAAGAAATAAGGTTTAAGAATCACAAAGGATAAAAACGAATGAAAGAAAGAAAGAAAGAAAGAAAGAAAGAAAGAAAGAAAAGAAACGAAAAGAAAAGAAAAGAAAGAAAGAAAATAATGGACGAAATTGTAGAAGAGAAAAACAAAAAGAAGCAATAAGAAACGCGAAGGATGAAAAAGAAAGAAAGAAAAGTAACGGAAAGAAAGAAAATAATGGACGAATGCGATTGAAATTGTAGAAGAGAAAAAACAGAGAAGCAATAAGAAACTCGAATGTTGAAAACGAAAGAAAGAAAGAAAGAAACGAAAAGAAAGAAACGAAAAGAAAGAAAAGAAAAGAAAGAAAATAATGGAGGAATGTGATTGAAATTGTAGAAGAGAAAAAGAAAAGAAGCAATAAGAAAAACGAAAGATGAAAAAGAAAGAAAGAAAGAAAGAAAGAAGAGCGAAAATAAAGAAGGGAGAAAGGTGTGAGAACGTTTTCTGGGAGATTAAAGAATTGCTAAATTTCAGCACTTTAAGAAGAAAAATTAAAACTGAGGAAAAAAAAGGGAAAAAAGAAAAACAAATAAATTGAAAAATAAGAAAAGGACAACGAAGACAAAAGAAAAAGAGAATGATTTATATCAGAATTATCATAACAGAAAAAGAAAAATCGCATAAATGTCTATAAACACTAAAATAAATTAAGAAATAAAACTCTCAGCCAGTTAAATAAAACACAAATGTAAAAAATAGAAGAAAAAAAAACTGAAACAGAATAAAAATCGAAGACAAAACAAATGAATCAGCCATATTGGAACGAGGACATTGTAACGAGTTAAACGCAAATTAAAATAGAAGTTTTGACGAATAGCAGACGGCTCAAAAAATGGCGCAAACATTAAAAGAAAAACGAATGGAAGATTGCGAATGAGACGATATAAATTCGAATTCTGTTTCGAGACAACAGCCCAAGTCTACGACAAATACGAAAAATCTTTAAAATAAAATATTAACAAAAAGCAATTGCAAACAATTTGCTGCAACCTTTTTAGTGTTTGTCCTTTGTACATACATATATACAGAAAGAGAGACACACATACATATATATATATATATATATTTACATACTTTATACAGACACAACACATATACATACTTATATATGTCTATGTATATATATATATATATATATATATAATATATATATATATATATATATATATATATATATGTATATATATATATATATATATATATATATATATATATATATATATATATATATATATATATATATATAAATTAAGCCTAAGCAATGAATATTGATGTAACACTTCGCCATTCTCTCGACCCATGCCTCGAGAAAAACTATATGATTCAAAGAAATGAGTGTATGTGTACAAAAAAATAAATATAAATAATAATACCATGGAATGTTCCAGAAATGGATTATATGGGAAACCCCAAAATGCGAAAAGAAATTGGTTACAAGATTGGAAATAAATTCCACTGACTTTTTCCGACAACACATGTCGACGACGAAAATGTTTGACTTTTTCGTCTTTTCAAACTTTTAATTTATTTTTGAAGAAGCCTTTTTATTTTTTTTTTTTTTACGACTGACGCACGTTAGGAATTTATTTTATTGTCTACATTTTTGGTTGTTTTATATTTTCTCTTTTTCTTTTTTTACTTTTTTCGTATATTTTTTTCTTTTTTTTTCTGTTGTGCTTTAATTATATCTGACACTTGTTATTAAAGGTCTGCGACGATATTGGATCAATCTGAGTTTAATGTGGATCGTTTAAATTTAAAACTCATAAAATCACTGGAGGATATTCAACCAAAACTTTCATGATGTCAACGTAAACACAGACAATCTGCTATATATCGGTAATATAAAAGACACTGTTTTTTTTTTGTTTATTTTTAAACGCTATCACCCCATGCAAGGCAACAAAGCCTCTAAGACACATGTGGTTATGGGGTTGAAAGAATTAGAAACAGATAGATTACTAATGAGCAGGAAGAGGAAAGAGCAATCAGGAGGGTATCAGCTTGAAATTTGCTTGAAATCCTGGAATCGGAAGGGACTTCCACAAAGCAGAGGATTTCCAGTTACATCTTGTCAGCTCAAGTATATGAGATTTCGATGCCAGCCTAGTACTGCGCTTAAATTCAAAAGGTCTACGCACTATTGCAAAGGGCTTATCCGAACAATTACCATGAACTTATTTACGTGGCTGAGTAATTATAACGTTCGCATGCATTCTGACCATGAGACCCGGGATAGAACTCCCGTCTGGGACTTTCTGATGTTATCGGACTGTAGGGGTGGTCCCAGCATGTGGCACCTTTGGAAAGTGCCTGAAAACCATAATACGGGTCGACCCAAGCCTTGTCAGTGAAATTGGGTAGACGGAACCCTTGTCGATAGCTGTGCTAGCGCGAACTCACAAGTCATCGTGGCCGAGTGCTTGAGCGTGCTGGCCTTGTTCAAATTGTTTATTACGCTAGACAACAAGCTCTCTCCCAGAAACTGTAACTAAGGTCTGCTCAGCATAGTTGCAGTATAAACCACAGGTGGCCTATGTGGGTGTTAAATAAACACAAATGCGCCTGAGAAAGCGTGTGCGATAGGGATTGGCTAGCCGGCCTAGTAGACGGGTATCCATGAATACGAGTGGCCAGCTATAATATATATATATATATATATATATATATATATATATATATATATATATATATATATATATATATAATAAAAAAAAACAGAGAGGCAATCTTACGGCAGTAGGAATTTGACTGAATCCGAGCCGCCAAATCAAGACCAATAATATTGCTGAGTCTTCTTTGGATTTTATCAACGAGCTCAATATCAGCGGATTAAAGAGGTTACAAACAGACAAAGGTGGTACTCGAGTGAAAGAACAGCAACGCGTGCGTAGATGTAAGAATAGCGGTTTATTTTAAAAGAGAATACACTACTGAAAGACAAGGAAGCGGCTGGTTATTCGCGAGGCAAGGATATTTGCCAACCGCCCCACGCGTTCAGATGTGGCACAAGGCCGAATTTAACGTGGGGATATCCGAACCCGTAGGCTAGGGCAAAAAATTCCCCGTATACCCCGTAAAACAACACATATCATTTCGATATTTACTTTCCATCGAAATAGTCTCATTCGAAATCCACACAGTTTATCCATTGACGTTTCTATTGGTCGGAGCATTCCTAGAACTCAATTTTTGCTATAGCGAGGAGTTTCCTCGTCGCATTCTTCTAGATTTCATTGACGTCTTGAAATATTGTTCCTTTCAAATGGGATTAAATTTTGAAGAGGAAAAAGTTGCAAGTTGATGAATAAGAATGCTGTACCAGGATTTGTAATATCCATATATCATATTAATTTTTAGAAATGATTCCATAGCATAGTCTGGACACTAGCCACGTACCGGTAGCTGATGGTTCGTGTATCGGCAATGGTCCATGGACCACCAATTTGAGTAGCACTGGTGTCAGACATTTTATTTCTCTTCCAAATCTATCCTGTACATTTATGAATCTACCATTCATGCATACATTGAATATTGCTACGATATCTTGACTGGTGATCTGACTATATATCTCAAAGAGATTCTCGACATCCCCCAAAGAATGGTTTGTAATGTTATAAGATCTCACCTGACATCGCTCATCGCAGTTTCCTATCTTTGTAGCTCTTATCGAGGTTTGTCATTTTGCTGTGCCTCCTTTATCTTTGTTATACGGCCAGGCAAGGATTTTTCTCTGATCACTACAATCTTAACCTGTCCAAGTCTAGAGTTAACCGTTATCTTCTTGTCTTACCCTTATAAACTGTCCCTTAACTACGTGGTCCCCGGACTTTGAACAGGGTGAAACTTACTGTAAAATAAAAATGACACATTCTTCTCCAGTACTTTTAATTTAAGGAACAGCAAGCAAGGTTATTCTTCCGCGATCACTATGATCTTTACCACATGGATTCTAGAATCCACTGTTTTATATATCGTCCTAATGTACATTTCCTACTTCCTCCAATGACGCACTTTGAACAAATCAACTTCATTCAGTAGTCATATACATCGTGGTTGCGTTAAAAGGTCTTATTGGCCGAGACAACTTCGAGAACCATTATATCTTCTAGATTTCCACCCTTGCGACATTTTCATCCTCAAAAATCAAATTCAATTAGAAAGGAACATGATTTCAACACGTCGAGAAAATCCCAAAATGCGACATGGCAGCTACTCGCCAACCCATGGAAAGAGTTACAGGAATGCTTACATAAATAGCTGAATACTGTGGGTGGATTCAAAAGAGGACTACTTCGAAGGAGATTAAATGACGAACTGATATGTGTTGTAGTTTTCCTTTTACAGTAGCAGCATCGATACTTTCTGATCGGACCTCGTATATTACCAATTATGTAAACATTTTAGTTATAAATAAATCTTCAAAGGCAATATCATTAAAAGAAAGGACAAAAACAAAACCTTAAAAATTCTATCTACATTATTCGAAATAATGTATCTAATAATATTCAATCGTTCTCAGTCTGGGAGATAATTTCCTTTGGTAAAATATCGTTTCTCAAATCAATAGGTGATGTTGGTTTCTAGACGTTTCTTGTAAAAAAAAAAACATTTGGATTTACTTATTTTTTTCTTGTTTCTTTTACAGACGGCAGGATCTCAAAATAGAAATCTCCTAGAGAGAATCAAAGTTCCAAGTGTGCTCCAGACTTTCCTCTTTGAACAAACGATCGTGAGAAAGGCAAGAGTTCTTTTCTCCCCCATGGCTTCACACATCGCTTCGCTCGGATAACAAATCATATCGACACTGGCATCCCTTGATGGCAGTCGAAGAAGAAAATGAATTAGTTGAAAATGAGGAAACCGCACTCTCTTTTAGTGACCATAGCTGCAAAGGCATTTGGAGTAAATTGTTTGGATCTCCAAATCATTCTTGACGAGGCTAAATCAAAAACGTATTTAAAATTTCGTTTTACTTTAATGAAATGCTTGACGCTAACCACATAAATATATTTGTATCTACCTATACAAAAAGCATCTCAAAATCCAGACCTCACATGATTAGTGGACAAGCACCGAATTAGTGTGCGTGTGTGTGAGTGTGTGTACGCATAAATCTAGTTTTCCTCTTGTATTTTTTTTATATATATATATATATATATATATATATATATATATATATATGTGTGTGTGTGTGTGTGTGTGTGTGTGTGTGTGTGTGTGTGTGTATAAATATAAAGACAATAGGAAAACTAATAGTTGCCGACGCGTTTCGTCCAATGTGGACTTTTTCAAGGCAAAAATGAAATGAATTTTTAAAACAAAGTAACTAATAATAACAAAACAATCTCCTTAGTACATTGGACGAAACGCATCGGCAAATATTATAGTTTTCCTATTGTCTTTTATTTATAAATATTATCTTTTTTTACAGGTTAACTCGGAGAAATTTTTACATATGCATATTTTGGCAACATGATATTATTGAGGCATGTGTTATCAAAAGCTGCGGAACTTTTCTTTTTGATAATCTTTTTTTTCGGTTTTTCTTGCTCACTAGCATGTCATTTTTATATTTGGGTCTAAGTTGATGAAAAAAGATCTTAATCCATGGTGTGTGGCCGAGCGTTTTCAGTTGATGTCAACCGTCATCATGACTGCATGTTTTGATTTGAAGTATGTTGCTTATTATTTTATTTTATCAATAACGTTTTGGGTATTTAGTCAATGTATTTGGTTTACTTCATTAGCTATAAGAAGGGCTTTGGTGTTTATTATTTGGAGGATTAGTTATTAAATATGTTTAACATGTTCCTGCCAGTATTAAATGCAATTTTATTTATGTTAGGCTTTTGGTTTTGAATTGTGATGGTTTCAAGAATTTGTAAGCGTTTTTTGCATTTGATTTTGTAGAGGATTTTGGTATTGTTGATTAGGATTTTTCTTATTTCGGAGGATTTGAATCTGTTACTAATGGTACAGAGTTTTGTTATCAGGTGACTTTTAAGGCGTTTCTGCCATGGTTGCATTGTTACTAAATTCTAGTAACCATAAAATTAAACTCGAATTCTTAGCAAACAGTAATAAGGATGCCAATAAACCATAACGTCATAAACGCAATACTATATTGTTTATCCGCCCTTCAACAGAAATGTCAAAACATACACCGGGAATTTTTTTTTAACTTAATCCCCAAAACTTAATAAGATCTTCAACAGAAATGATATGCAGGTTAGCTACAGCTCTGTTAAAAACTTCGACCAGTATATAGCCCGGCACACCATTTCCATACTGAAAAAGCACTTCAACAATCTTTAAGGCAACAGCATTCTTACAACTAATAACTGCAACTGCAGAAATAGCAAACACTGCTGATTAAATGGTAATTGTATGCCCAAATCGTTAGTTTATAAAGCTGAAATCAAACATGGCGACGAGGTCAAGTTTTACGTCGGCTCTACGGAAAACAATTGGATATAGCGTATTTACCACCACCGAATGAAATTTGGCAATATCAAATTTCTAAACAGCACTGTCCTATTTTTTAATTTTCTGGAAACTAAAAAACGAGAATAAAAACCCAATTATCAAATAGAAATTAATAGAGAAATCCAAGCCCTTCAGCAGGAAATGCAAAAAAGTATAACTTATGTCTTTCTGAAAAACTAATAATCCTTAAAAATCCTAAAGTCTTAAACCAAAGAAGTGAGTTGATTAGTACCTGCCTACTTAAAACCAAATTCCTACTGAAACAAATTGACCCAGACTAATATAGTCTAGTTGGACCAAGCGTCAACCTTTACTAGTATTAGATTAATATTTTTGTATTTTTTACGTTTCTTTCTAACTACCTTTATTGTACAACTATTGTTAATTTTAGACCATAACGCATTTAACATTTTTGTCATTCCATTTTTCCATTATCTTATCCCTTAGCATTTTTAGTTTATAATATATTTTTTTATTTTTGCTTTGTTTTCTCTCTCTTTCTTTTACTTTTGGTCTTACTATTAGAAACGTGTTCATTTACCCATCTCTTTGAATTCATTATTTTTATTCAATTAATCATTTATTTACCTTATTTGTTCATTCATTTATTCTTTTTACTTATTTTCATAATTATCACTTCTTATATATGGTTTTCATTACATTTTATTTCATCTTATTCTCTCTTACTTTATCACGCTATATTTTATTAATACTGATATCACTACTTTTAGTTTTTTTAGGAAAATTAATATTAATAATAGTAATTTCTCTATTGATTCCCCCCAAAATAGATTTAATCTCTTGATTTTATAATACCACTTCTAGTTGTTAAACAAGCGTCACTCTAAGTTAGAATAGATATTTCTTATTTCCAACCATATTCTTTTAAATTTAAATGTTGATCTGAACCGAACATCAAATTCAAAATCAACTACAATTAATCATTTTAAGGTAATTGTTTACATATTTATATGTTCCTCTATAAGGCTCTTATTTCATCTTACTTTATTTTCTATATATTTTCCTTATTTTATTTGAAATCATTTTTCCATTGATATTTATTATTATTAATATTAGTAGTAGTAGTAGTAGTCGGAGTAGTCGTAGTAGTTGTAGTAGTACTTTACTTTATTATGTTTTATTTTATATTATTTTAGTTTATACATTGTTATTGATATCATTAGTTTTAGTTACTATAGTAATATTATTATCAATTCTTTTGAGATTTGGAAAAACATAGACGTCCCCCCACCTTAATTTTCCAACGCCTTTCTTTTTTGGTTATTTACGTTTCCAAAACAGTCTCTCTCATGTAGAATTTATATTACTTATTTCCAACCTTATTTTCAATCTTAATTGTTATTCTGGGCTTAAATTCAAATTCAAAATTAAACTACAATTCATTTAAATAATTTAACTTCAATAATATTGCACCTGAACAATAAAATATATCGCAAAAAATAATAATAATAATAATAATAAACCGTGTTAACCCAAAATATAGAGAAATATAAATATAATAATGCCAGCACTTGAAAATTGCATGGGCTTTCAACACACTCTGTGTCTTATCAAGTGATGATGTTGAAGATAAAATAAATGGTTTTAAAAGTTTCAGATTAATTAACGATCCTACACTAGGGGGAAACATTGTTACAAAAGCTAGAATAACCAATAAAAAACGAAGTATAGAAAGATTCAAAAGCTTGACAACGAAATCATGTTATAATAGCTATTCAGATCTTTAAATACGTGTAATATTAAAAATAATTTATACTAACCAATAATTATAAAATTATATGATAAAATTTAATATTAAAATTAAAAACTGGCAATTTTAAAATCCAACTTTACTCACTATTAAGTTTAAAAACTACAAAATTATTGAGAAAAGAAAAAATATATACGTTTATTCAATATGAATTGAATAAACACATATATTTTTTACTTTTCTCAATAATTTTGTAGTTTTTAAACTTAATAGTGAGTAAAGTTGGATCGTTAATTAATCTGAAACTTTTAAAACCATTTATTTTATTTTCAACATCATCACTTGATAAGACACAGATTGTGTTGAAACAAAATGGCTATTTTGTAGTGATATTATAACATACTTATGTTATAATTTTTTATAAAAATAATTATATCTGCTCTACTTTGTATTGAGCACTCTTTTAAGAATAGTAATTGTTGGTTATTGGAATTCATTCCGTATATACCAATTATATACTTGCATATATATATATATATATATATATATATATATATATATATATATATATATATATATATCAATCTATTTAATTCAGTTCATATTTGTCTGTAGAAGTATCTGTTTATCTTATTCTGATCAATATCTACATATCTGTTTGCCTTTTTGTCTATCTATTTATCTATGTATCTATGTTCATGTCTATCCATGTATCATTCTGTTCAATATATATATATATATATATATATATATATATATATATATATATATATATATATATATATATATATATATATATATAAAAGGCACTAATATTCCATGGTCATAATTTATTCCACTGGAATCGTAAATACGATCAATTTATCAGACCTACAAATTCAAAAAAGAAAACAGAAAAACAACTCCGGAAATAAAAACAGAATTTAGAGAGAGTGTAAGTATGAGGAGGAGGGATATATATATATATATATATATATATATATATATATATATATATATATATATATATACTATTCTATCTTTTAAAGACATTTTATGGTTATACGTAATGTGTTACGTCAATTCTAACTTTCTCTCACTCTATCCATCTATCTATCTGTCCCTGTTCAACATCGATCTATGTAACTTAGTTTTTTCAATATCTATCTATCTATCTATCTATCTATCTATCTATCTATTTCTTCCTGTTCAACATCGATCTATCTAACTCACTCTGTTTCAGTATCTATCTATCTATCGTTACATATATATATATATATATATATATATATATATATATATATATATATATATTGCGTATGCGAGTGCAAATTTGAATCAAACTAATAACCTGAACTGTAGGAACATTTCTGCCTCTGGACGTGTACCGGGCAGATTCTTGTTATGGCGGGAAATAAGCTACTAGAAAAGTCTTCGGTTCATTAGGCTTTGTAGACTTTGTATACCTTCAGGCTTCTCAACAACAGCGCCACCTTCAGATTAACAAGGGCAAGGGCAGACAATTTTTTCTTTCCATTTCGACTTTATCTAAGATTTTCTGCTAACTTTTTTTTTTGTTTTCTTCATTTAGAAATTATTTCAGAGTAATAGTTGTTATTATGATGAAAAAAAAGTAAAATTCATTAAGTGCTAAGGTAAAACTGGAATTCTAGGCGAGACATGTTCAAGAATCCTGTGGTTGAGTGATATATGAAAGGTTAGGACATTTAATGGTGGAGAGGATATTTATAAAACTTCAATTTATGGAAGGAAATGTGGATGTGAATGAGAAAAA